CAGTTATTTATCACATTTGTCTCCTTAAAAGTAACAATAGAACAGCAGAATTGAAGCCTACACTTGTAATACTAGAATTCTGATGTATCTGGCAGGTAATAAGAAAAAAGGAGAAAAAAATCTGAAAAAAATCTAAACTAAAACTGTAAAGGAAGCTGGAAGATCCAGAACACACAAAAGTTTTTTCCTTTAATAAGACTGTATTGAGTTCATACTTAGGTAAACTACTATTAAACGCCATTTCTTCCCAGATCAGAAATGACTGTTTTATAATTTTGTGAAAAATAAAGTTGGCTTAAAAATTCTAAATAGTAGAAAGTACTTATTCCCTTAGGTTTCCTGATCTCTATTAATTGCTATTAGTTACTCCCAAACCCAACATTTTAGAAGACAGACAAATAGATAAGAAATAATAATAAATATAAATTAAAAACTCTTCCTTACTGTGTGATTTTATCTTGGACCCACTGATCTGTAAGGCCAACAATCGCCCACCTAAAATTTTTTTGGAAAAAAGGAACAGAAAAAAAAAAGGTTAAAGCAACAAATATTCCAATATAGTATGTTATATTTAACCCTCTAAGTGTGTAACAGAAAAAGTCAGCAGCACTGTTCCCCTCAGCTCCCAGAGGTTCATAACAAAGCTCTGTGGTACCCACAGCGCTGCTCGTGACTGATTCACACAGCAGTGACCTCTGGCTGAAGATGTGCATTCACTCACACAGGTATGGGCTTCACTGGAGCCTCACACTCAAGCTGAGTAACTCTGGGCAATCCTGCCTGTCTTTGCTGCAGGTTTAAGCTTCCAGCCCCTCTGGAAAATGAGGATGGGAACATACCAGAGCATGTCGTTCAAGTCCTTAGACATCATCCAGGCCAGATCAAACATCACCATCGCAGACTGCAAGGGGGAGAAGCAAAAAGGCAGCACAAACAGTCACAGGATTCTCACCTCAGTACACAGACAGAACACAGGTGGATTTGCCAAGTGTTAGCATGTTACTGAAGCTCTGGAAATCACGCTGGAGTCTGACAGTCTGCCAGAGTCTTACTAAGTAGAAAGCAAAATGTTTCAGATTGCTCTGTAAAGCTGCATTATATATAAAGCAAACACTTAACAAAATATAAATATCATCAAAGGCCAAAGGACATAAGGAACAGCTTGATGTCCTAAGTGCCATGTTTGTGATATCCTGAACTTTGAAAGACAAACAAGTCCCTTACATGCTCAGGTCTTTTTGTGAAAGTATCTTGTGCATAGATAGATACTTTTGTCAAGACCTAAAAATCAACTAGAAAACATTAAACTAAGTTAAACGACTTCTATATATGTAAAAATAACAAAATGTAACAATATTATAACACATATTATTATTAGATAATTATATAATTGTAATAGGTAATTATAACCTCGGATATTATCCAATTACCTTTACATTGTCACCTTGGGTTTTTATGGCAAACAAAGAGTTTATACTTACTGAGGTCCCATGGTACTCATACTGCTCATAATCGAAAAGAATTTCTCGTCTGAAAAGGGGAAAAAAACCCAGTACATTTGACTAAAGGATGAACTGGTCATTGGATCCAACTGAAAATATAAGTCTAGAATTGTGAACAATATCTCAGTTTCATTTTAGTAATGAAAAAAATTAAACTTGGGCTAGAAATTGTGGAAGGCAAACAGACTTCAGTAATAATGCAGAAACCACTCTGAAATGTACTCATAAAGCAAAAAGGAAAAATTTATTAAGTCATTACTCCTCAAAGCCCATTTTATCTGATTTGTTCCTGCCCATTCCTATTAATAAGATTGTGAAAGAAGACAGAAGCATTCTTAACAAGATTCTAGTCAAAGATTAAGAGTAGAAAAAGAGGTACAAGTGACACAAACCCAGCCAACACACCTGACACAAACCCAGCCAACACAC